GTGAGTGAGTGTGTGTGTGTGTGTGTGTGTGAGTGTGTGAGTGAGTTGGTTTGGAGTTAGCTGTATATTTCCTGGATATAGTTTTCTTGGCTGTGGGCAGATGGGAGTTTTTCAGTTGGGGTGCAGTTATTAAATTGGGGAAATATTTAGTTGATGTTGGGATAGTAGTGGTTCCTAATGGTTTGGTATTTGGGGCATTCTGTGAAGAAGTCTCAAGCTCTCCCAGAATGCAGTGAGAGCAGGCTCTTCTTCTTCTTCTTAAGTGTTTCTGGCGGTTGGCAAACCAATGTATAGGTGTTTTACCGCCACCTGCTGGACTGGAGTGTGGCTCAAGAGTTTGGCAAGGAAAAAACTAATAATGATTAATTTATTAAAACAATATATACTTGTATAATAAAATAAAACCCTTTCTTCTTCTTCTTCTTAAGTGTTTCTGGCGGTTGGCAAACCAATGTATAGGTGTTTTACCGCCACCTGCTGGACTGGAGTGTGGCTCAAGAGTTTGGCAAGGAAAAAACTAATAATGATTAATTTATTAAAACAATATATACTTGTATAATAAAATAAAACCCTGTATCTTCGCTCCAACAGACCTGTTTCTTCAGAAATGTCATTAACTGCTCTCATGCTGTGCTCAATGCTGCTCCAGGTATATTTTCCAAGTTGAAGTTTAATTTAAACTGTTCAAATATTTCTTTTAATTCAATTCTTTCATTTTCATGTGCACGACAATCCACTATCACACGCTGAGCAGATTCTGGCTGAGAGTTGAGCAAGTGATGAATTTGGTTTTATTTTTACAATAAAGTCTTTTTGTTTTTGCACCAAAATACAGTGTCTTAAACAAGAATAAACTAGTGTGAATAGTGTATGTGGAAAAGCTAACATGGCAGTCTGGGTTAGGAACACAGCATGTAATGGAGCACTGATGCTTTATGTTCAAGGCTTTGGTGAGAATAGCTTAGTTTTGGGGTATATGTTTAATTAATTAATAAATTATATTGACTCCTTTTTTTTTCTTTGTGGGCTACTGAAAGTATTTTATGTCGATCCAGTGAAGAGAGAGGTTTTAATATAATGTTATAAATGAAAATGCTTTATGCAGCCTTAATATGTTTATTTGTATTTATAATATGCACATATGTATATTTATAATTGTTTGTATATAAAAGAGGTTTAAAAGTCTAAATTCAAGTGAGCTTTATTGGCATGACTTGCACAGTATTGCCAAAGCATTGAGCACTGCATGAACAAAGAACTCATAATTAAAAGTCAAGTCTCTGTCTCTCTCTCTCTCTCTCACACACACACAAAAAAAAAAAGCTAAGAACTTCATTTGAACAACTTTCAAAGATTTTCTCAATATTTAGATTGTTTTTTTTTTTATTGCACGCTCAGATTCCAGATGTTCAAATGGTTGTATCTCGGCTAAATATTGTCCGATCCTAACAAACCATACATCACTGGAAAGATTATTTACTCAGCTTTCTGATGCATAAATCTCAAATTCAGAAAATTGACCGTTATGACTGGTTTTGTGCTCCAGCTGTCACACATGGGTTTTTGTTTAATTAACCTGCTGCTTTCTTGTTGTTTCAGGAGTTCTGGTTATGGCGATCGTGGCAGCTCTTACAGAGATGGTTATGATAGTTATGGTACGTATTAGTTTGCTCCGCTCTGAAATCCCCATATAAGCATGTCGGCTGTGCTCGTGTCGCCACGGACGAGTCAAACCGGCTTTTCTAGAACTGTGGGGTGAGTTAGTCACGAGTCAGTTTAACTACGTACTTGGATTTCTTTTTGGTTTTTTTTTTTCCTTTTTTTTTTGTATGCATATAATAAACCTAAAAATGCTTTGAAATGGCCCAGTTTTAATTTGGACTTAAAGTTTCCGGCCACGAAATTGGACTCGTCACACATTGCAGAGAATCTGAATAGAGTCGTGAAAGCCCAAACGCAGGACACTCAAACCCTGATCGTCCACGTCTGCCCGGTTGCTCTCCAAGTCCAGCCCGGTCGATCTCATGTTTGATTAGTGGGTTAGCGGAGGGGTTGTCTGTCTTAAACCTGTTGAGATGCTTGAGTGTCTTCATGTGTGATACTTCCTCCTCAGCTGTACACGAGTAAAGCCCAAGACCCGACGCGTCAGCGGCCGAGCGTTTCTAAAGACTCATGGATCTGTTCTTGGATTTGTTGTAGCTGTTCTCCCTGTTTCTGTTCTGTTCTTGTATTCTGAGGGAAAGGCCGCTTTCTGTTCACCGGCTGTGAATGAATGAATGTCTGTCGATGGGTTCCTCTTCTGCCTCGTTTGAATCCTTAAACTCATCATCCCGAGCCTCACTGTCATGTTAGCGCTCACCTGTGCTTCTATGGGGAGTCCAGAGAGCGTTGGCTCTCCTCTGTTTATGTTACTGATGCGCAGCCGCTGTCATTACGAGCACGGCTCCTTCTGTTAGCTGTAAGCCATTGATTTGTCCATGTCCCGTATCCAAAACGTCACTTCCTTTCAGGCTGGTGAGCTGCGCATTGGACGGCTGGCACTGGCGCTGCGGTTCTTGAGCCTTGCTGAGGTATCTGTCTGTCTGTCGCTGCTCCTCGCATCCTGCATTTTAACCATGGACTCTTGACTAATCTATCTATCAATCATTTACTTGAAAGAGAACCAGAAATTGTTAACAGTACACTCCAGAACTGGGAAAGAAATCCTTGTGCTCTTGTTTCCTTTGTATGAAAATTTGACTCACTATTTTGTTTTATTTTTATTTTTTTGCTTTTCAATTGTGGCTTCATGGAGCCTATTAAACGAAA